TAGTACTCTTAAAAGGGAAGCCTCTGATGGACACAGCCTATCCCAGCAGCAAACGCAGCAGCATCAACCCTGAAGGGAGAGATGCAGTGACGAAAGAGCAACACGGAGAGAGAGGGAGGAGAGGGATGTGCGTATACGCTGATGTCAGTATCCCGAGGGCTCGTGTGTTTACGCTGCCTGTGACCTGCTTGTTTGTACATGTAATGTCCACCAGCAAATCCATGCAAGCTCCGTCTCTGGTGCAGGAGTGAATTCATAAAAGTGTTGTTCTTCTTTTCAGCGTTTGTTGGAAAGTTAAAGTGTCCAATATTGGAAGAAGAAGCGTTTTACCAGAAGAAAACTTGACATGCAGCCTTAGTTTGCAGAAAATCCAACGACAGAAACTCAAGTATGGAATGGCAAATACATTCAAATTCAAAACTGCATTATCCTCTGTCCACGAATTAAAACAAAGTCCAGTTTTGAGAAAACCTTAATACAGATCAAAGCAGTGCTGAATGTTTGGCATCATGTGCTTCATACGACTGCTGCTCTCCATTGAGATACATCCTTCTGCTGCTTCCTCTCACGTTTTCCCTCCCTCCCTCTCTAGCTCTCTCTCGCGCTCTCTGCGTTTAGCTGCCTGTGACCCAGTTCCCTCCCCATTGGAGGTCTTAATAACTTAACCTGATTAGAGGGCATTCCAACATGCCCTGAGCCCAGTGCAAGCAGTAAAAGCCTTGGTGGCATTACGCCATCAGTGCAATTAAATTCACACGATATATGGACATACATTTATCTATATATTGTATATTTATCAAACCACAGTCAATCAAAATATTTGTTTATTCATGACTTGCCAGATAAACCTTAACCTTTAGGTATACCGTGTTACATTTCAGCATTAAAATGTCTTATTAATACTAATACACCACTCTATATATTTGTATATACATGTAGTATATTATAGTACACTGTGCACATTTTTATTTGTACTTCTTGTGTATATAAAATACTTTTATTGGAAACTGTTTTGTTCTATTTTATTTTTTTATTGTTTACTGTACATTATCCTCATATGGTTATGTCATTCTTTTACTTTAGAATTTTGTATTTATTCGTATTTAATCTTTTGAAGTATTCTGATTAAAAACAAAAAGATGTATGTTATATTTTTTTGTTGAGTTATGAACTTTTTTTTATCTCAAATGTTTTCAACAATTTTCAATTTTCAAGAAATTCCGAATTTGAATCAAGGTAACAGTACGTTTTATTTGGTCGACTCCAATGGCTTGGTATCTCCTTAGTGTGTGGTGTCTGCCAGAAAATGTAAAAATTGTTTTAAACTATATGTTATATATGTATATATATATATATATATATATATAATATACATCTTATTATATATATTTTAACTGGAGCCTAATTTATCGTTTGTTGCCGTCTGGGAAAAACTGAGTGAAATAAAAAAAAAACATGAACCCCCGCTACTATAACGGCACCAAACCCTTACACTCTTACACAATTCGTGGAAAGAACATTTCGTTTTTTTAATGCCATACTACTTGGGGGTGTCACATGATTTATTATTTTTCAGAAACTTTGTGATCTCCACTAGCTTTTGAAATTGCTTTCTGTTGTTTTCAACACTTTTTGACTTAGGTGCATGTTTGAATAAATTAAGTTTGACGGTTTTAAAGTACTCAGTCGTGAAACTAACAAATGGGTTGGACAAACAACACTTTATGGATAATGTAATCCCAGCTTCCTTTTCCTATGTGTTCATTGCGTAATTTTGTACTCCCATGTGTACTGATCCACTGATATGTGTGTCAATCTTTGTCCATTCATTATTTTCCAGCCTTGTCTCCTAAAATTACATTTATAATAGCACTGAATAGATTTGCCAAATAGGTTTTACAACAATGAAATTGCCGCCTGCATTAAGTTGTGTTCACTGGCAATGTTTTTGTTCCAAATGAGGAGGGTTTTAGGGTGGATGTTGGCATAATTCATTGCAGGAAATTAATAACCAGGGACCTAGATTATATACTTACATCCTGCGTTTGCTCATAAATTACTGGTAATTGCTTGGAAAATATATAACAGTAGTTTTTTCATGCACTAACACTACATGATTGTATACACATACAAATCATGTCCTAGTGTGAATTAAGGTAATGCATAGAATTGGCTACAACCCCCTCTAAACACACATGTGCATAAAGCCACACACTGTAAGTACACCCAGAATCATTGGGACAGTCGCAGAACACACACATAATTCTCCTCTTCACATCTGGTCTGCCATCTGTGCTGCAACAACATGATGTTAGATTACTGCAGGCCTCTCCCTCTGTCTCTGTGTCTGTCTGGTTCTCTGAGGGGAAACTCTAATTATTCTGAGCGGAGTTTTTTTATCGGGTTTTGTCCTGGCACTAACAGCGGTCCAGTTTGAAAAACCATACCATTGTTATTTTTGCATTTTTAGCTTACTTCATGTGTGTTATCATTAGTCAACAATTTACTTAAATTTGACAAATTCCAGCTTAGACATTGCAATTCATTTTGCACCTTTTAGCTATTTCACTCGTAATCCCACCTAGGTAGGAAAATCAAAGAGCTGTGTTATGAAACAGATTTAGGTGTCATGCTACACACGACTGAACATCCAGGACGTTCGCCACTCATCCAGAAGAGACAGCCACATGCTGCGCTTTCAGTTTTGGCCAAAAGGGACAGCTGCGCTTAAAATATTTATAAAATAGTCCTAATAAAAAGTGTTTTAGGTGTTTATGCTGAGGTGTGCAGATTTTCTAAAGCAGCTGTTCTCAAACATTTTTATTTTATAACTTAACCTCCTTTGACATATTGAATCTGCCAAGTACCCCATTACCAGAGTAAAAAGCCTTACAGCTCTTCAGTATCATCATATATTGGACTTAATATAGTATTATTATTTAAGGAATCATGTAAACGGTTAAATTGATTATTTTGATAAAGGTGTACCTCAAAGGTGACTCCCAACCGCTACTGTTTTGGGACTTAGTATGGTTTCATGCACATCCGACATTATACACGCCTTAGACTCTCAGCCAACTCAGAAATTTGACTCAGAGTTGTTTTCCTTTTAATTTTCCTTGTAAAGTCTTGTCTGATGACCGAAAATATAATAAAAAAATAGCTAAGAGAATCTAAAAGCTCTGTAAAAAAGCACAGTTGAAGGAAATTCTATTCTCAAAATGTTTACACTATAGCACATTTTATTATCAAAGAGGACATATTATACTGATTCAGGTTCATATTTGTATGTTGTGCTTTTACTGTGCATTTCTCCATGCTTTAATGTTCAAAAAGTTCTTTATTTTTCTCATACTGCCTGTGCTGCAGTACCTCTTTTCACCCTCTGTCTGAAACCAGAGCCCAGCCTGCTCCGATTGGTTAGCTGGTCGGCTCTGTTGTGATTGGTCAACCGCTTAGACATGGTCCATCCCTTAGCATTTCAGATACAATGTGTTTGAGCGCTATCCAATAGAAGCGCGAGTGTGACATAATGATGTCATTATGTTACATAAGGAGTCCAACCTCAGTGTTTCAGTCAGGTGGGGAGTGTGTGTGAGAGAAACTCCCTCTGAATGGACCTTTGGGATTTTAGCCTTTGCAGGCCATTTACATGCACCAAAACCGACAACACACGTCAGGAAAGGGAAACCCCCCATAAAGCATGATAGGGCCCCTTTAATAGCATCGAAATATGGATTATTTAAGTTTAGATTTATACAAATATTAGATTTTTTATTCTGTAATAAACCCAAAATTCTACAACAGGACATAAGACTTTGTTGTTCCTCTTGTGTAACTTTGTGTGTGCCCGTCACAGAAGTCCCCTTTGTCCCCCTTTGTCCTTACTCTCTTTTAGCTGTCTGCCTAATTAGCTGTGAGATCGTCCGGGCAGTTAAAGTCCCCAGACACCAGCCAACCTGCTGGTCACGACTCCTCAGCTCAAATGAATGAGTTGTATGGTTTGGGCGGTGGAGGGTTACCCAATCATGTCGGTGCCCATGCAGGACTTCATGGTTTTGTAATGCAGTGATGTCGACATTAAGATTTGCTGAAGGGTGCGACAAGACACCCGGCCAACTGCGACCAGTAAAGGAAAATTAAAGTTCACATGGTGTGTGACGAAAAAGACGGGAAATAGAAACAAAATAAGACATGAGGCACAGAAAGAAACGGATAAATGGAATGATTTTCACATATTCTCATATCTCAATTTTTTATAAATATATATGTAACATATGCAACCATTTTTGAGTTGATATTTGTAGGAGCCATTTAGGGGTGTTGAAGAATAAAATTTCCATTACAATATTGGTTTTAAAAGTGTTTGATTTAAAAAAAGAAAAGAAAAAAGGAGCCCTTTACTGTATCTTTTTGGTTCATGTGTTATAATATGTAGTCTGAAGAATTGTAATAAAATGTTTTTAAAATTGCCAATTGCCTTCTGTTAATTAGATGTCTATATCCAGCCCTCTCCCTCTTGCCCTCCCTCCTTAATTAACCAATTAGCTCTGTCATTCATTATCCTGTGAGATCATGGCATATTATCGAGTGAGCATTGGATTATTCTGCACTGACGAACAAACATCGGTGCTAGCGTCACAAACCAGTACTTTCCATTGACCGAGATCAGGCCTGCTGTAATGCAGAACAGAACACAACACCACAACATAAACAAACTCACAAGCACACACAAGCGCGCACACACACACAAGCACACACAAGCACACACACACACACACACACACACACACACACACACACACACACACACACACACACACACACACACACACACACACACACACACACACACCACACACACACACACACACACACACACACCACACACACACACACACACACACACACACACACACACACACACACACACACACACACACACACACCCACACACACACACACACCACACACACACACACACACACACGAGCACTGACCGGATAGCGAGCAGCTCTGTTTTCTCATCTGGATCTTCATGACGATCTCCTGTTGGAAAGAGTTAGCATTTAAGCACTTTTGGGTTCCCTTGTCTCAAAGTCAGTTTTTGGTTAGATGCCTAAAATAAGGTCTGTGGTTAATACAAGCTTAACAGATGTTCATGTTTTTGTTCTATGACATAAAACATGTCAGTAAATACCCCACTTGTGTATGTCTGCAGCTTGTATGTGTCTTTAAAACGGCGGTTGCTAACACGTGACGGAAAGAGATTGCTAAGCGTTATCACACCAAATATTAGCCGGCGTTAGCTTAGCGGTGGTGAAGGGAGTTATGACCGTCTTGTAGTTTGTTTACATTAGCTATTTACGTCTGCCGTTTGCTATTGCGCTTCAGCTATGAAAGTGGTGTCAATATATGGAGAATACCATTCTGATCAAAACTTGTAAGTATCATAAACTAACTTAGCTTTTTTCAAGCGAGACCTTATGGTGCTGCTAACATCTGGGTACGTCATACCCACTCTATGTTAATGTATCAAATAAACTCGGACATCTTTGAGACTCCATATCACTGCTGTATATAAAGTGAATCAAAGCAGGCCACTCACGTCCGCTGATCTTGGCGCTGACCCGCTGGGCCAGAGCCCCGCTCTGAGCCAGCTGCTCCCTGAAGCTCTGGCCCATGTAGTAGTCGATGTCGTTGGCCCTCAGCAGCTCCTCGAAGGCCTTGGTGGTGTCCCCCAGGTGCTGGGTGAGGATGTTGCACACCCCCCGACCCTCCCTCAGACGCTGGCGGAGGTGAGACAGCTCTCTGGCCTGGGCCTGGATCAGGGTGTCGAATTTACTAAAGAAGAAGAAATAGATAAATTAGTGTTGTTATCTATGTTTTTATATGTGAGATAATAGATGATGAACACAACTGAACCAGTTTTGATGTTTATTATTTGAATCACAATACTCATCCTAGAGGGAACTACAGCAATTTTATTTATAAGTAACTAACCAGTCTACAAAAGCAACACACAACACATTTCCTTCTTCTATTTGCTATCATAATAAACTAAATCCTATATTTGTCCGAATTGTCTCATTGCAAATCATAGGCTTTGGGCTTTTTCATTCGTTTCAGCGACTTATACAATCATATTTACAAGACCATCACACCCATACATCCAAATGGTTTAAAAATGATACAACCAGATACAAATTAGGTAATCATTTGTTTTGTTTGTTGACATTATTAATTAGACATTATTAATTGCGATAAGGTCAAATAGATACAAATTATAAAAAAGGATTATGCAAATACTAAATATGTCTGAAGCTTAGCCATTAGCATTATAAATAGAAATGAATAATACCTCATGATAGCAGATGTCCCTCTGCCCTTTTTCAAACAATGATAATGTTCTAAGGTTCAGATTCTGTACCTGGCTTGATAGCTTTACCCTATAAGGTGTGTTTTCATCTGTACAGTATATATTGATAGAATTAAAAATGTATTTATATATATCTGTTGCAGAGATCCTGCAGTGAAGCATTTACATTCATGTCCAGAAAATGTTTGTTTCCAGATCATCTGTATTCAGAATCAGAATCAGAAACAGAAGCAGGTTTATTACCAGGTAGGTTGACACATACGAGGAATTTGACTAGGTGTCGTGGTGCATACATAAAAGTAAAACAAAAATTAAAAACACAGATAGAGAACTATTTTAAGAAAACTATAATAACATTAAAAAATTATAAAAAAGATAGTAAAATATAGCAGTATTTACATTGAAATAGAATGGAATAAAATATGTGCAGTAATTACAAAAAACAGATATTGTGTACATTAAATTACATTATTAAAATCAGGTTCACTTGTATTTACATTTTTTAAGTAAATGTTTGTTATTTTCTTTTATTTCCTTTTTCTTTATACATGTTTTACTTCTTACTTTACTTAAAAATATGGAACTTTATTCTGCTGTGATCTGATGTATATATCAACTTGAAAAATAAAGAAGAATGAGGAAATGTCCTGGTACTGACCCCGGCCATGTGGCAGACTTCACGTCCTCGCTGCCTGGCTCCTTGCCTCCTTTCCTCAGCTGGTCCTCCAGAGCGTCCACACGGGACACCAGCTCCAGCAGGCCCTTGTCTGCTTGGGGGTGACGGGGAGAGGCCAGAGCACCTCCGTCTGAGGACTGCCAACCCTCGTCATCTTCCGCGCCGCTCTGGGTGGGCGAGGCCTGGAAGGACCAGTTGACCTTGCGGGGGGTGGAGGGGCCGTAGTCGCTGGAGGTGGAGAGGGAGCGCAGCCGGCTCTGCAGCCCGCGGATCACCCCCTGAGAGCGGGTCAGCTGGGAGCGGAGGTCCTCCACCAGGCGCTGCAGAGAGGACATCTCGTCCCCATCCCCGGAGCTCTGAGGGGGGGTCTTGGTGAAGGTGGAGCCCTTGCTGCCGCTGTTGGCAGGCCACCACTGGGAACCACAGTCCAGAGACGTGCACATCTCCAGGTCATCAAACTCTGTCCGGGAACAAACAGCACACGCATTCATCTGAGTCCTGGAAGCAGCACTGAGGAGTTATACAAAAAACACTTTCCCATGGTTCCTTTATATCACATGCTCATGCACTGTAGTGGAACAAATACAGTTTTAACCAACAGCACTGCAATAATCCCAGACCTGTGCCTTTTATTTAAAATGTTTCAAGACATTTTAAAGGTCTCCTATCATGCAAAATGCACTTTTTTTATGTCTTTGAGCTCCATACTATTTCAGAAATAATCCTTGATGTGGTTTTGAACATGATATGGCGTTTAATCACGGCAGCACTTAGCTGAGTATCTGGGTAGAATTCTCCTGAGCAGGCAAACCCCCCCCCCCCCCTCTTTTTATTTTTTTTCTTTCAATTTTTTTTTTTTTTTTACTTATGAAATAGAGGGATGTAGGCATGGCTAGAATGGGTGATTTGTTTGGTATTTTGAGCAAAACACTTCATAGACATGTTTTTTATAGACCTATAATATATGCCTACAAATAGTATAATAGGAGACCTTTAAAGGCTGCTTGTTGTGCTGTGTCAGAGGATCTGCTCGCTGGTAAAGTGCTGTACAAATTAAAATATCTTTTTGAGTTTTAAACTCCATTTACTAAATATGAGTTGCAGAATAATAAATAATATAATAACAAGAAAAACTGTTTCTATAGCAATTTTCTTAACATTGTAGTGAACTATTGTACATAAATTACATTTGAGAAAGTCAAACTAATATTATGAGTATAAAAATATGTATTTTTGCCTTGCAAAAGAGTACATTGTACATTTCAACTGAAGCAAAGTATCTAAATACCACTGCAAATGTGTCAATGTGAAGACAGTATACTGTGCGCTGCCGCCCTCTGGTGTTTTTGTGATGCTACTACAACTAACCAGCAGGAAAAGCTTTGAAATTGAATAGTTTATATAACCTAGTAAATAATGAATAGTTTCACTTTTCTTCCCCTTTTCTTGTATGGTTATTTTCTAAAACTGTGCCTCTGACAATGTTTAAACGGTTATATGTACCTGGGCTGCTGGTGTCCTCCCTCTCCGCCTCGTTCTCACTGCGGCCGGAGGTCTCGTAGCCCATGTCCTGCAGATCCACCTGGACCTGCTTACTGTCCTGCTCCACGGCTGTCTCCGCTGTACACACAGAAGAAGAAGAAACTTTATTCCAGTGTATTTGCAGCTGACACCACTAGCAACAAACAATTACTGATGTTTCTTTTGCTTATGTTGCTGAGTAGATGTCCGGCAGTGGCTCAGTCGGTAGGGGCTTGGACTGTGAGCCGAAGGGTCACCGGTTCAAGTCCCTGAACAGACCTAAATATGGAGTGTGGACTGCTACTTGGAGAGGTCCCAGTTCACCTCCTGCCCTGCCGTGGTGCCCTTGAGCAAGGCACCGGACACCCCCCACCCCCCTCAATCCCATTGCTCCCCGGGCGCTGTACAATAGCTGCCCACTGCTCCTAGTACTAGACTCCTAGTACTAAGATGGGTTAAAAGCAGAGGCCAAATGTCACTGTGTGTGCTGTGTGCTCTGCATGTGTGACCATTAAAGAGGAGTTCATCCCTCCCAATTCAATTCAATTAAATTCAAGATGTAGCTATGTCCACTCACTGAGCAGCTCCCTGTAGTCTTTGAGCTGCTCGGCTTGAGCCTGCACGGTGGCTTCAGACACCATCAGTCTCTCTCGAAGCTCTTTGCTCTTCTGCTGCAGACGGACTGACTTTCCACACAAGACAGAGGATGTGGCGCCCTGTCCAGGAGCATCCTGGGGGACAAATTAAAATAAGGGTTAGAATTTCAACAAGGATAACGCCAAATGAAGGAGCCAATAACGGATTAAATAAGTCTTAAAATGAAATAGAACAAGGTACTTATGGGTTATCTGTCGCCACTTTTTTAGTTTTTTTCAGACTCTCTAAATAACCCTATTCCCTAGGATTAATGTTTGTTATTTTGACAAATGAAAAAGTTAATGTGGAGGAGCCAGCTACCCGCTATTAAAAAGAAGCGACAGCTAACCCACAAGTACCTAAAACATCCTTATTTCCACGCACACGTTTTTTTCTGCTGAGTGGTCCCTACCTGTGAGGTGTTGCTGAGCAGCTGCAGGGTCTGAGGTCTTTTGGCTCTCTGCTGCTCTCCACTCTGCATGTTGGTCTGCAAGAGAGTCAGATCGCCATCCCAGGTATCCCACATTCCAGAGTTTTCCTCCTCCTCTTCTTCCTCCTCCTCCACCCCTTCTATGGTCACATCCAACTCCTCCACCTCCTCTTCTTCGCCGTCCACACCCTGCTTACTGTCGGCCTGCAGGCCTTCAGTCAGCTGGTGCTTCAGATCTCCGTTCTCTGCTTTCAGGCTGAACAGAGCTCTCCTTTAAAACAGAGGAATAGAGGTGGACGGTTAGAAATATCCTGTGGCCCTCTAGTGGCCAAAGAATGCTTAATGCTGCTGTAAGTTGAATGGATAGGTGTGTTACCATCAGCTCCATTATGTCGGTGTTTGTCAGCAGAATGACCGAAGACTAGAGGTTTTACCCAATTGTAATAACCTTGGTGGATTCGTGTAGCGTAGGCCGAGCAAGAACTCATAACATTTTGGAAAAGATATGAATCATGGGCAGATACGAGCATTCTTTTTTACAAATGGAAACAGACTTGGTCTTTGCTCTTCTTGTCCCTTTGTAGTTCTTTATCTTTATTTTCAGAGAATATCCCATTAAAAGACTAAAACATAATGTGTACGTTTATGTCTTATTACTCAGTCTTCCATCTGTCGCTCTCAGCCAAACTTACATTTAAAAAAAACACAAAATATAGTTTAATTTCTTGAAAAGGCTTACAAAAAATCTGAATATAATAATAATAATAAAAATACATTTGATTTATCAAGCACGTTCTCAGCGCTCAAAGACGCTTATATAATATCTGTTAATTGTAGTTTTTATTAAACATCAGGAAATAGTGTTTGTTTGGGAATACTTTCAACTGCAATCAATTCCCACTACAGTGTCACAGGGGAGGAAGGTTACTTCAAGGACAATACTTAGTAGTAGGACACGTTGAGCCGTAATCCTTATCGTAATCATCTTACCTCATCTGTGAAAGTGAGGAGAAGCCGGCCTTCTCCAGCTGAGCCTTCAGCTCCCCCAGCTCTCTCTCCACCGCCCTCTTCTGCTCCACCAGCTGCTTGACCTCCATCAGGCCCTGGCCTTCAAACGGCACGTCCTGGGACGGAGGTCTTCCTGTGCCTCCAGGTCCCTGTTGGAACAGACAGTGAGGATTATTGATTAACAGTTACTTACGATGCGTGCACGACGAAGCTGCAGTTATCTTATTGAACACATCCTTTTTTTGTAAATGTAAACTGACCAGAGATCCAAGATAAATATTTAAAGTTCACAGCCGCTTCATGTCTCATAAACCTCCAGCCCTCGGACATAAATCTGCCTCCTTCACTCAGTTCGGTTTAATGGTTGGTCCTAGGCTAACAATAACTTTCAGAGTAGATGTAAAGTATACTTTATTTAGTGTAGGCATTGTGTCACACTGCACATTTGTTTAAAAAGTACATACCAATAAACTCATATAAAGCTCTGAATACGAACTCCAAAAATAACTTGCTCAGTTAAATAAGAACCACACACATTAAGGGGCATTTTCAAAATAAAAATAGTAGTAAGATTAAGGGAAATAAAACATATTAGGGGCCAAAACCTTCAAAGCGCTATTACTAGATGACTATATATCTCTACTGCTAAATTCCTCGTTGGTATCTCATTCCCTTGTGATGATAAATCATAAGTACGTTAATGTTAACCTCTCTGAGCACTGGACTAACATCAGCATTAACACACTAAAAAGATTGTTGTGTTTATCGTGGGATATTTGGCTTCCATTCACTTTAAATTACCTCTTAAATATCTTTGAGTCAAATATATGTATACCTTGGTGTTGGCTGCAAACTGGACCCCCAGTTTAGACTCGTCTTCCTCTTCAGTGTACTCGCTGTTCAGGTCATCTTCAGCCTCGTCTTCCTCCTCTGAGCTCAGTTCTGCGTAGAGACGGGAAAAAAAGGTTAGATTTCTACCATTCATAGGAAATTATTTTCCATTTCACTCTTTCTGAGTTTTCTGTTTGCTTTGTGACTTTGTGCAATTCATCAACCATTCTACTGATATCCCACTGTCAACACAGAAGGGACATTTAGTGACTTGTGGACATTCTCCTCCTTCATCATGATGTCATTTGTAATGCAACATCATCTGCTGCAGTATAGCTGTATGTGAGTATGAGCAGCTCGTAGTTCACTGTTGTGAGTAGTGCTCTGTGTTATTAACTGTGTGATCAAACTTTCAGTGCAGTACATTCAGTACAAAGCCATTGGACTGAATGGAAAATAATAATAGTTTATTTCGACAATGTTGCTTGTAAATAGAACAGGAACATGGGTAATCCAAGCCATGGAAATTTCACATGAAACTGTAAGGAGTTAAATCATGGCCTTGACTTTTCCTTGAAATGAGGTTAAATAATTCAAAGCTGAGGCAGGTAAGGCTCTTATTAGCATAATTGGAACCATATTTATTTGATAGAACTATGTAACCCTCATTACTATTTGGATTCGGTGACAAATTAATATACATTTCAGTGCTGCAGAAACCACTGAAATCATGCATTCAATATAGCTTCTGTAGGTTTAACATTTTTATTTCTATTATATCAGAGTTATAAGTGTGTTATTGATCATTAGTATTTCTTCAGAATATTTATGATATATGTGACAAAAGAATCTACTTGTTTTTTATTGTTTCTCCACTATAATTGTATTGCTTACAGTGTGGAGAGCTCTTTTCAATTTCAGACATCATTTAGAGGCAAATATAAAAGGGAACCTAACAATTATTGGGTAAATTCAAGTAAATTAGGTAACCTTAAGAATTGAAATTTCTCAAGAAATTTCGACTGAATATTTCAAAAATTCTGAATACAACACTGGTTGCAGATATGTATTAAGTTCTATGGTGGCCCTATGTCATAGAAATTGGTGTTTATTTATTATATGTTTAAGTATAAATGACACGTCATAATTATGTTGTTTTCGGGGCTCCAGTGAGGAAACATTTACAAAGCAACAAATAAAGTGTGATGTCTGAAACTAGTGCTTGTGCTTATGATGCATTTTGTTTTTGGGGACATAATGTGTAACTGTCTGTTTACTGTAGTCAGTAAAGGCAGATAAGGATGTCCCAATAGAGACAGGGGGATCATAAAACTATTTGGGCGTGAAGTGAACAGTTATTTCAAGTGAACAAACCATGAAAACCTCCTAAAAAATCCATACAATACACGGCAGGTGTATTTATTAAACTCAATAGGCGCGTTCACACCGCAGTACTTTTCCCACTTTAGTTCCGATATAGTTCCGAAATGTTGCGTTCACACCAAAAAAATCCGGAACTAAAATTAGTTCATGAGAACCTTTTTACCCCCTTTTCCGTCCCTGCTAGAGAGCAAAAAGGTTCCTATTTCTGATTGGCTGGGCAGATTGCAAACCACGCCCCGTAAAACTCAAAACAAGTTTTGTGAAGCTGCCATTTTATTGTCCTCGCATTAGCATTATTAGCATTAGCATTAGCCCAGCGCACAAACACAGAGAGCATACCTGCCAACCCTACCGATTTGGGCGGTAGTCTACCGCTTTTTACATGTTTCTACCGCCTACCGATTTAGCTGGCTTTTCCTACCGATTTCAATCTTCCCAAATTATAAAAAAAAAAATGCTAGTGAGTTATCCGAGCGGCCCACCTCGGTGCCGCAAGTAAATACCGCGAGGAAATTGTCGACGGGGGGGGGGGGGGGGGGGGGGGGGCCACATCGTCCGACCGGCCCACTTCAGCACCGGCCCATCGGGTTTCGTCCCGAACGTCCCGATGGCCAGTCCGCCCCTGGGTGGGACAATGTGTTTAAAGCCAAGTGGACAGCAGATCACGAGTTTATCAAGGTTCCAGACCCTGAACTTCTCAAGAAAGCCAAGTCTGCTACATACCAAGCACTAAAGTGACTGAACATTGTATGACCAATTTTTGTGAAAAATACAAAAAGTGATGAAATATATTAAATACATGGTTTATACCTGTAATTACTGTGGTTACATTTCTTCTGATTACCTAATTTGGGCGTGCACATTTTCCACGCGCAAACCTACCTCTTTTAGATTTGGAAAGGTTGGCATGTATGAGAGAGACTAACTAATGGCAACACAAAATAAAACATGGGAGCGGTGGAGATGAGGAGGTGTCGGCGTTCTGGCGATTTACTCGGAAGGCTTCAGTAGAAGCCAGTCCCCAACTCCGGGGACTTCCGGCCGGGGACTTCGGGTGGCAGTATACACCATGAAGTTGTTTTGCGGCCTGCCAGTAAACCCAAAGCAGAAGAAGACGAAGTGACGTCAGCGGCTTCATTTGTCTAATCCTCCCTCAGGGACTTATTCCGGTGTGAACGCGATCTGTACTTAGTTCATGAGAACTAAAGAGTTCTGATGAACCTTTGTGGGAAAAGTACTGCGGTGTGAAAGCGCCAAGTAGGCACTTTCACACCAAGTACTTTGTCGTACTTAGTTCCCAGTACTTAGTTCATCAGAACTCTTTAGTTCTGATGAACTAAAGAGCAGATCGCGTTCACACCGGAATAAGTTCCTGGGGAAGGATTAGGCAAATTAAGCCGCTGACGTCACTTCGTCTTCTTCTGCTTTGGGTTTACTGGCAGGCCGCAAAAAACTTCACGGCGTATACTGCCACCCGAAGTCCCCGGCCGGAAGTCCCCGGAGTTGGGGACTTGCTTCTACTGAAGCCTTCCGAGTAAATTGCCAGAACGCCGACACCTCCTCATCTCCACCGCTCCCATGTTTTTTTTTGTGTTGCCATAAATTAGTCTCTCTCCGTTGGTGCGCTGGGCTAATGCTAATGCTAATAATGCTAATGCCAGCAAATACAATGGCGGCTCCACAAAACTTGTCCGAGTTTTACGGGGCGTGGTTTGCAATCCGCCCAGCCTATCAGAAATGGGAACCTTTTTCTCCCATGAAAGTACCTGCTCTCTAGCAGGGACTAAAAAGGGGTTGAAAAGGTTCTCATGAACTCAATTCTAGTTCCGGATTTTGTTGGTGTGAACGCAAAATGTCAAGAACTATCGGAACTATACTGGGAAAAGTACTCTGGTGTGAAAGCGCCTATTTACATGGTAAGGTTGAAAATGTATAAATTAAATATATTTGCCATCCAAAAAGTGTGTGTGAAACTTTAATGGAGTCTGCGCAGAGACATTCTTTACATTCTTCAGCTTCATGGGAATGTCAATAAGCATAAAAAGAAACATTCGTACTTACTGTAATCCAGTGTCGAACGAACTCGATAGTATATGTCATAATCATTAATATTGAACCAAAGAAGTGGAGCTGATGGTTGTTGAATTGCACGTCACACAAGCAAACTTTGAACAAGCTAAGCATTGACTTTACAAAAGTACACAGCATCATAATCACATAAAGGCAATGTGGAATGTGCTTATAATTCATATTGTTCAGTTAAATAACATGTTAGTTTAAATTGTCATACAATTGATAGCATTCAAAACACACACACACGCATGCACGCTTGCACACAATAAGTAATATATTACCACTGGCATACAAACAGTTGCATCCTGATTTAAAAAGTAAATCGTCAACGATGCTGTGAATCATACAAAATAGCAACAGCACATCTAACTGCACATTTAGACATTTAAAAAACAATGGAAAAAAAAAGTTCCCGCCATTTATAATCTCAGGAAAAAAACAGCTAGGTTAACGTGAAGAACTTTGTTCCAAAATGATTAGAAAAAACATTTTATATTTACAAAATGAAAAAGAAATAAAAAAAGATTCTAGCAATGTTCAGACTTGAAGTCACAGATATAAATCATTTCATATATTTTGAAGTACACATGAAAATTAGTAAGTACTACTTATTTTAGCCTTTTTTGTTGTATTTTCGTGTAGGATCTGATATTTCCTTCTATACTGAACCCCTTAATAAGAACTTGTTTTTTAAGCAGAAGCTTGAAGATAACAAAACCAAACTTTTGATCAGAGTCATGATCTTCTTTCAAGTGATATCAAATGTAGGAACCATACTGAACCACAGAGGCCACAAACACAGTAAAACGTGATCCTTCTTCTTGCCTTTTTAGATTTAGTTTTTCATCGTTCTGTTTTCTATAACCTCCTGTTACAAAATAGGCAAGTTGCTGCAGTGATAGAGGGATGTTAAAATAGTTCACACTCATGGAGATGGCTTATAGTTATGAAACATCATAGCGTTTGTCAAATTTGAGTCATTATCTCACCCAATTAGATTTCAAAAGATGTACGAAAAACAAACCATGCAGCTTGTTAAGGGGTTTAAAACTCCTAAAATTAAATGTATCATTCATGAAACAGACATTTCTGTCATCCGTGTTCAGAAGCGTGCAGACCAATGCAATGGCTGAATGAAAACTGTTGTAAATGTCACCATCACTGAAAAGGTTCAGTAGTATTTACACCCAGAAAGTCCCATGTGTTAGGTTGTGTTAAACCACCACAGCAGCTCTGATGCAGTTACAGATACTGTCCCATGCTCCTTTGATGCCCACCTCCAAACTCAGGCTGCCTGCGGCCCGGGACGGGGCCCCTGGCTGGGGGACCGTCCCTCTGGACCAGGCTCTCTCTCAGCTCCTGGACCTCCAGGGTCAACTGCTCAACCAGAGGGAGGGCGGAGGGCTCCACCATCTGCCTCTGGAAGTCCTGCAGAACACACACAAGGGCACTTTGACATGCATGTACACATAATCAACACAACATACTGTATTGGATTAATAGGTGAAAAGGGGCAGCTGCATTTGAAAAGCAATGGGAAGTTAAACTTTTTGGTTTATTTTGTTGCCTTAAATAACTACTAAAGATGCTCCCAAAGAGGTAAATATCTTTGTGAATGTATTTTATTGGTGGCATAGTTGCTCATTTGGAGACTAGATTTTGGTGCTGAAGTACTGTGATAATTTCATTTAGGCATGTCAGAAAAGTAAAAAGTATCCAACAGTGTCTCGAAGTTCAAGGTGACGTCTTTAAATGACTTGTGTTCAGAAATTCAGTTTCATATTACAAACATACTGACATTTAAAATATTCTGATAATTTTGCATGACAAATAACAATTATCGTTAAAAGTTGCTGACGATGTCAATAAATGAATGGATAAGCTGACTAATAGACTAGTGCATCACTCATTTTTAACATGATACCAATATTTCATTTTATTTCAAGTATCACAGCTATTGGTTTACCAGTATATTGCATTTTCTCTCATTTCAGTATTGTCTTCTTATACAACAATATACTGTATGTAAAGATTACATTACAAATATCACACTGACCCTGATGATCTCCTCCTTCCCCTGCAGCCTCCTGCTGAGGGCCTCCTCCCTGCTGGCCTGACTCCTGCTCAGCTCCTGGCTCTCCCTCTCCCTCCTGAGAGCCAGACGCAGCTCCTCCTGCACCGCCTGCAGCTCCACAGCCGAGTCCGAGTCCGACCCCCACCCGACCCCCGAGCTCAGCTGCCTGCGGAGCTCCGTCAGCCGACCCGCCTGCTCGCCCAGCACCTCCCCGAGCCGGCTCCCAGAGACCTGGGCAGAGATTTGAGTCATTTTTGTATCCATAGACAGCTTTATATTGACTGTAAGTGATTCTACTGAGCTTCTCCACTCTACCTGAATGTACTGGTCCCTGGAGCTGATGGTCCGGAGCAGATCCTGGACCTGCTCATGGTGCTCTTTCGCCTGCTGGGTGCGGTCGGCTAGAACTTCCTGGAAGAGGCGGTCTTTGAGCTGGAGTCGGATCTTCAGCTCCTCCAGAACATCGCTGGGAGCTGATTGGATCTGAGCCAGCAGAGAGCAGCGCATGTCCTGCAGAGGAGAGAGGAAGAAACATGAAACAGAGACAGCGAATCATAAGAAAATCCCATTCAACAAATGTTAAATATCACCTTTTCTTCACAAGATAATTATTTATTGAAACATTTATTATGACTTTTATGATTTTTTTTATTTCAGATTCAGTTTATTTTGAAAATATTTATGTAAAATATTAAAACTGTGCCATGTAGGCTTTTGGCTTTCATTGCATGTTCTGTTATTGTGGTATTATTTATATTGTCATTTGTAAATGTGTGTTCTAATAATCTCAGTATTCATGTTTTATTGTAGCCAATATGAATGTTCATCTGCAGTAGTAAGAAAGATGCATTATCTCAGTATGAGTCTTAACAAGGTCACAAATGTTATTTGCAGTATAACCTTATTTTTTAATTCTCAGTTTAAATGGAGTCCTTATGAGCGTTTTCGCTTCCTAAATATTTCTGTCTCTTTAGTGATTGCTAATCGTAGGATTGTACTAATAATGACTACCATGACACTTTGACCACAGTAACAGACCAAGTGAAAAAGTCTAATTTGTCTGCAGTCAGGAACTGATTATAACTGATATAAAGGTTTTAGTAAACCCATTTCCTTTGTAACTTCCTGTGTACCTGGGCCTCCTGCGAGCGAGCGTGCAGCGCCCCCTGCAGCTGACCGATGATGGCGTCTCTCTCTCCCAGGATGCCGCTCTGTCTCCCTGCGCTCTGCTGATGCTGCCGCTGCACGTTCCTCCAGGCGTCACACACCTGCTCCAGCTCCAGAGCTTTCCCCCGCAGCAGCAGCTCCAGGCTCTGACACACACAGAAGCATCAATGAGTGATTGGTTGCAGAGAGAGAGGAAAAAGAGGAAGTGTGTGTGTGTGTGTGTTCTTACAGTGATGGTCTCCTCGTTGTTGGACAGCACGCAGCGCTGCCTCTCCAGATCTCTCTCCTTCTCTCTGAGCAGCAGCCGGAGCCGACGGGTCTCCTCCTCCTTCTCCTCCACGCTGCGGAACTTCTCGTCTACTGCTCGCTGGGGATTGGTCAAAAGCACCTTCATTATCACAGAACATGACAGTATAGGTCTGAACATTAATAAACCGCAGAGGATGGGGTTTTGACCTGAGCCGTACCGCCATAACTACAAAGAGTCTTATCTTACATTGAAGAGTCCTCCAAAAGGAACACATATTCTGGATTTTTAAATATCAATGGGGATTTTATGATAAAATAATTGCAAAAAAAATTCATTAAATATATATACATATATATATATATTCCTAATAAAGGTTAAAGGAGACAGAGGCACTAATTAAAAATAAATATGGTCTTCACTTTTATAGCATTATTTAATGTAATGGTGATGCTTGGCGCTAAGAATAGACAGTAGTGACATGATATTGTACACAAGAAATTAAAGGTCACATATTACGGACTTTTTCCTGGCTTTTAAACATAAGCCTCTCTCAACATTGGGGTGTGTGTGTGTGTGTGTGTGTGTGTGTGTGTGTGTGTGTGTACGTGTGTGTGTGTGTGTGTACGTGTGTGTACGTGTGTGTACGTGTGTGTACGTGTGTGTGTACGTGTGTGTGTACGTGTGTGTGTACGTGTGTGTGTGTGTGTGTGTGTGTGTGTGTGTGTGTGTGTGTGTGTGTGTGTGTGTGTGTGTGTGTGTGTGTGTGTGTGCGTGCGTGTGTGTGTTTACCTCCAGAGCTCGGTCTCTCTCCTTGATACGCTGCCGGAGTTTCTGAAGCAGAGAGTCTCTCTTCTCCTTTGGATCCTCCAGCAGCTCACAGTAGTCCTAAGAGAAAAAAGAAACAACTACATTTAGAATACTTTTAGCAGAAACATGAATACAAAAAACACCACATTAGAGAGGAAGTGAAATCATCAACACAGACTCTTATGAAATACATCTTGTATTTCAGAGGAACTTGAGCTTGCTAGCTTCAGTTTGTTATGAGAATCATGCAAAGTATCTGCAGAATGAACTCCTGGGATGTGCCCTCTGTATGAATCCTGTTAATGTGTGCAGGTGTGTGTGCAGTATATCTGAGAGCATGAAGCAGTGTGAGTGTGTCTGACCTGCATCAGCTGCTCTTTGGTCTGCAGGGCCGTCCTCAGCTCTGTGAGGGTCTTCTGTCTCTCCTCCTCCTGTCTTTGCCTCTCTTGTTCGCCCTCCTTCAGCTTCTCCTCTCTCTCCTGCAGGGCCGACCGGGCCTTCTCCAGAGCCAGCTGCAGATCCTGAGCATCACACACACACACACACACACATCAAATCATCAAATCAAAATCAAAGAGCTAGGAAGCAAGGTGATCTTTTAGAGAACACTACTGATGCATTTGTTCTGATTATGCTACATATGGGGGTATATGTCTCATGGGGTAAATGGGTGTCTACCACTCAGAGGGTCAATGGTTTGCTCCCAATCCCTTGCAGTCAACATTTGAAGTGTCCTTGTGCACTTAACCTCGTTTATGGGCTTGGTATTGAAGTATGTATGTTGCTTTGGATTAAAGAATCAGCTAAATGATACTGGTGTAATATCCTCACCTGGTTGTGTCTCTGGGTCTCCCTGCGGTGCTGCAGCGCCCCCTGCAGGTCGGTCTCCAGCCTCTGCAGGGCTCGGCTCAGGTCGTCCTGCGCCCTCACCGCCTGCCGCTGCACCCTCTCATCCGCCTGCAGCTCCAGCTGGGCCTGGAAGAGAGACGCCTGCAGAGCCAGAACCTCACCCTGACCCCGGACACTGTCTGCACCCAACGCCTGGAGGAGAACACCCAGCGAGGGGGGAGGGAGAGACGGACACACACACACACACAGAAGGGTAGAGAGGGACGGATTCAAAGAGAGAGTAAAGAAAATCAGAATTAGAAACAAGTAAAGACACTATATTATTGTATTTCTTTTTATAAAGCTACATTTGGTATCATTCAGTGTCCGCATGGAGGACAAACCTGCAGCTGCTGCAGCTGGTTGCGGTTGGCGAGCTCTTTGAGAGAACACAGCATCTTATTCTGTTCCTCAATCACCCGACACAGCTCTGCAGCCTGCGAAAACACACATATACAAACACAGCTTAGATAGGAAACAGTGCGTTCTTTGTTCATTTTCCCATTTGACATTCTGCTGTGTTCAATCTTTTCAGTTTTTGTTTAAAACTCTGCCTTCTTGTCTCCTATCCCAGTATTGGTCTATATGTATATCTATACATTTCTATACCTCTGCCTCCTTGGAGTTGGCAGTATCAGCGATGTTCTGGATGTTCCTCTCCCGTCGCTGGGCTTCCTCTTGGGCCGAACGCAGCTCCAACTCCATCTCAGCAAGCCGCTCCAGCAGCTTCTACACACACAGTAGACTCAGTACAAAACATCACAGAGATCTGCCATAAAGAGTTATGATCAGATGGAGGAGGAGGTGGTACCTGGTTCCTGGTCTCGCTCTCTCTGATCTTGGCCTGCAGCGAGTGGACCTGGTCCTGGGCCTTCTGCAGCTCGCCCACACACTGACCCGCAGCACTCTCATACTGACTGAGCTGACCCTGCTGCTCATCAATCAGCCTCTGGAAGACAAAGGAGCAAAATAAATGTCAATAACAATGAAAACGTGTAGGATTTGTACTGCAGAGATGATTTAGTGGTGAACACACACGTTACTGTGTGTTTCCCTGCAGCTGTGTGTGAATGATTGAGTGAAAGTAGAAAGTCATGTCAGTTTCCTGTTGCATGACTTCCTGTTAAAAACGGCTGTTGCCTGGGCAGCATGTTGTTGACTTCCTTGTTTTTGTATTTGTTTTTAGGATCTATGTAATGCTGTGATGTCATTATGCCCTAAGGGAGTCAGCTGTGTGTGTGTGTGTCCTTTTCTACAGCTGTTTCAACTTAACTAATACAGTCAGACTGTACAACGGGAAAAATATTTGAAAAACAAATAGTCTGTAACACCTTATTTTACGGGCCCAAGAGTATCATAATAATGAATAAAGTAACTGTATGTAAGCGCTCCATTTTAGATCCCCATACTGCATACATTTGAGTTTTATAACCTATTATATTGTACTTAGATTTTTTGAATATATATTTGGTGTAAATATTTATCAATTTTATAATGTGAAAATTGTTAATAGCCTATAGTAATTTTTTTCTCCCTTTTCTTATGTTTCCTTCTTCTCTTACTGTGTGTTATGTATGCACCATACACAACAAAGCAAATTCCTCGTCTGTGTAAACCTACATGGCAATAAACCCGTTTCTTATTCTAATTGTTTTACTTATTATAAATATCTAATTCACACCGTTGATAGTGCTATGGTACAGCCGGGTATATTGTTGTTTAATAGAATAGAGCCTGTTCCCTCCTGGCACACTGAACCACTTTTCACACTAATCATTAACATAACAATAGAAGTTATGATGCTGTATCAGACCCTTCACACGGTCTGACAGTGGCACCCTTTGAGACTGTAGCCATGGCAACGGAAGTGTTGCTAGGATACCGAAGGAGTATTTATGCTCCCAGAGAGAGTAATCAAGGCTGCGTTCAGCTTTGTCAGAGAAGGAGATGAGTAAAACAGAAAATCCAGAGAGATTTTACCCTCGATGGCGGGCGCACAAAGAAGGAATTAGTTGGTCAATCTTCTTAAAAGGGGGGGGGGGATTCATTTGAAGTCTTCCTTAAGATTAGTTTTTCTGTGTTTCTTACAATGGTACCTATTTTCAATTAAAACAACCCAGAGAGTTTGCCTAAAAACATGCAAACAAAATTACTTGGGTATGTTTAGTAAAATGTGGTTGGGAAGGTTTAGTAAGACACCATGGTTTTTAAATGTTATTTAAGATACGAACATCTAATTTAAAAAAGTAAATGTTGATTTTAAGTTTCACACAGGGCTCGAAACATCAGCCTTCCAGGTGAAAGGCTTGTGTTAGTTTAAGGCACCCATACAGCCAGACACGGCCTATGATAAGAAAATGTATTTGAGAAGCAAAAATAAATAAGAAAATCAGTAGAAAATGTTCCCCGACACTGACAGTATCAGCTACGTGAAGATCAGAGGTCATCAAGGAACCAGGTATTGTTGCAACTAATCTACCTGCTGAAAGCGGAACGGACCGCACTGAACATATTCATCCATCCACTGCTCCTCCATCTCAGCAAGCTCTGCCTGCAGCTCCTGCTGGGTACACGGGGTTATGACCTCCGGGACAGGCAGGTGGGAGTACAGCTCACAGTCATTAGCCCCTCCACAGGGCGACCTCAGTGGGATGGGCAGGGGTAGGGACAGGCTTTGGTCCAGTTTGGCTTTGGACAGAACTGGGAGCTTGCTACCTCTTTGAGGCTTCACTGGCCGGTAGTCCCAGCCCCTCAGGAGGCTCAGCATCACCTCCAGCCCAGAGAAGGAGCTCTCACTTGGGGGTTTGTCCCATGTAGTATACCTTCGTGCTGAAGCCTCCTCTGGATATTTTTCTGGTACAGTTTGTTCTCCTTCTCTGTGGTTCACTGGAAGGCAACTCACGTCCACGGCGGTGTCGAGAGACTCCACAGATGATGCCGGGCTAGGACTTGTCTGGTCACACATGATTTTATCAGTGTCCAACTCAGCTAAGGAGGACTCAAAGGTGACAGCTGTAGCCTCGGACTCTCCGGAGGTTCTAGCAGGGTCTTTACCCCCGGGAGTGGCTGTTGAGTAGCGTGTGGATGGTCCGCAGGAAGTGCTTCTGCGCCCAACCCTGCGAGGCACCTTACACACTGCCTCATAGTCAGAATCAGCAACACGGAGGACTGCACAACCCCTGCACCGCTTAGGCTTCATGCCAGAGAGAGAGTCTGCTCCTGGGCACTGGTGATGGTGTTGGTGGGGCTCTTGATGGGTGGGTTGGTCCAGGGCCGGGTCCTCCTTATCAGCCCAGGATTCATACACAGAGTAGGTAAGATCATCCTGGATCATATCAGAGTATCTTCCGTCCTGCAGACCTGACAGATCCACCACAGGTGAGTCTTCTGACCCCACGTCAGTCCCAACAACCCCCACAATGGCCCTGGGCGGAGGCACGTTCCCATCATCTGCGTTGTGCTTTCGGAACAGGCCTCCGATACACTGCCTCAGCCGGTCTTTCTCCAGCAGGAGCTTGTGAAGGCGCTCCAGGGACAACGCCTCTACACGGGCAATGACAGTGTCGAAGCGGTACATGCGGTCCAGCATGAAGGCGCACTTGGAGCAGGCAAACTCCCCGCGGCCGTCCCGGCTCAGCTCGTGGCCCAGAGCGTGGGACAGCAGCACCTGCAGGTTGAGCTTGGCTGTAGGGTGGAAGATCCAACGGCGCTGGTTGCCGCAGAGCTCGCGAGCGCAGATCCTGCAAGCGTCCTTCATCTTCACCACGTCCAGCATCACAGAGGTATAGGTGAACCAGCTACTACTAATATATCAGTGCTTTTAAGACGATTTATTTTCTCGCTTGTAAGATGTGTCTTTGGATTGAAGGAAGTGTACAGTAAATTGCTGATGTTTTTCATCGACTTCTGAACTGATTAAGTCCAACAGTTATTTCAGGTATGCCAAAAAGAAAAGTGTCATTCATCCAAACTTGCACTGATTTTAAAAGTTTGGAGATTCCATTAAAAATATCCTTTTCATAATGAGTATTTTGGAGATATGTTCTGATTTGTTTTTATCCCTCTTCAGCCTCCTGTTCCAGAGTCAGGTCCTGATCTGCTCTTTTGGAATTTAAAGTATTTTTAAGCTTAAGGTTTACATATTCCATCTGCTGGGAAAGATCATGTGAAATGATTAAACTCTCCAGCATAGTTTGTACATAGACCTTGTGGTGATGAATCCAAGGACACAAATGTGTTTTTTCTTCCAAAACGATAATAATGATTTGAGCTACTTTTAATTGAATAGGCAGCTTTAATCAAATGGATCACTGGGCAGAGGCTACATCTCACGCTGACATGACAACGTGACCAGAAGCGTTCATTCAGTGAAGAGGATTTCCAGGCAGAACGGATGTGATCTCTGTCATGTGTCTCATTTCACTTCCTCGGTGGTTCACTGCAGACAGATCGATATTTTATCGTTTTATATTCCGGGGATAGAAACAATCTCCAGTTGATGTCACTGCAGTCTTTTTGTGTTGCCTTTTAAAAATCAATGACGTCTCTCTACATGACAGCATCCCCGCTGCAGCAGCTTCCCCGTGTAACAGTCCGACACAAACACGGAAAAAACACGGTATTTCCTGGTCGACGGTGTGGATGTTAGTATCACCGGAGAACGTCCGGGTCCCCTATCCGTTTTCTCCTCACCGGCAGCGGCTACATCAGCAGGGGATGGAGGGAGAGGCTGTCAGCTCGAGGCGATTTTCATAACCAGACATCGAGGCAACCGTGACAGGACCCAAAGATCGTCTATGTTTGAGATGATATCTCACTCCGCAGCTTTAACTAGTTCCGGTCTTGAGAAATGGCTGTAGTCTAAAATATATACCACTCTACAGACATAAATCATTGAGAAAAATAATATTATTTTCTATCGATCATCACAACAGACAGCAATGGTTCATTCTCTAAAGTACACTTTTGCTGTTGGCCAACTTTAGTTGCCTATTTTAATTTCTATGCTAATTTATGCATGTGCTTTCCCTGGCTACACTTCAAAGAAAACTATTTTATATTTCACCTTTTAACCCCATTTATTTTAAAGCAATAGTTACTTTTCAGATAAAGATACTATACAAAAAAAAAAAAATCAGTTTATAAAATACTGTATGGTCGATTGTTACATGTTATAGGGGTGCAAATTAATTATGATTTACATTATGACCCATAAGGTTTTCTCCTTCTATTTTGTATTATTAAATTAATTTTGTCTTTTAATTATCTTTTTGCAATGTTATTATTGTTCAGGGCTAAGAGTTGAGTGTGTTAAGAGCTTTCTGTCAACCATTTCAGTGTAGGAGTGAGACCTCATGAAGCAGCCTGGACTGAACCATTTTACTGGAAAGAGGAGGGATGCTGATTCTGTACAGTCTCTTTAAAATAAACATTGGGATTTCTCTCGGCAAAAATATGAAATCAATTAACTTTCCCTATTCTTTATGAATTATGTTTAAAATAAATCGATGAGTTCCCTTCAGTTAATGCCAAATATAATAGATTGCGAGAGCATTAAACAGTTTTTGGGTCAATTGATCATGATAAAAAAAATACAAGCTTTGCCTGTTCATAATGTGTTTCCATTCCTGATGTTAACCAACATAATTATAAATTGGCATTAAGGTTTATTTATTAATGTCCAGGTTTATGATGCATGAACTCTCTAAGATGACAATTTGATCACGCGGTAAAGACAACAAATTTAAAAACAAATCAGACCTAAAAATACTTTTTATAAATGAATGTGGGTTTAACAATAAAGGCACTAAATAGTTGTTTTTTGGAAATGTAACTTTGTTTAAGATTACTTGAATAATACTTGTAATCTTCCTTAGTGTAATATTCATATGCAAATATTAATATAGATTTACATTTTGTGTTTTCTTATTTTAATTTAATTTTCTATTATGGAGCTCTATCTGACTGTTTACATTTGTTGTTGCTTTTAAGGAGTTGTCACCGTGTTTCTGAATGCAAATACATGATTGCCTTGTATTTGCAGGCTGATGGCTGATATCAATGAACACTTGCTTATTTTAAACACTTATCATGTATTTAATGCCAATAATGTTATGGTGATGATTTGTACCCTCTGAAGATTATACAGCACCAGTAAATAAAGAGATATTTTGGTATATGGTCACGATGGCTCACGGTGCTTTTTTTATCTGCTCGACCAAAACTGCTGCATTTAATCTTACAAAACTGAGTATTTTCAGCAAGAAAATCAGATCAAAACATTGTGTGACAAATTATGTAATTCCAAATACAACACTTCCCATTTCCATAAAGCTTTTTTGTGTCAGTACAACACTGTGTGCAAGCATTGAACTGACAAAAAACTGTGTTTGGCCTGTATGTTTTCCATCAGCTTCATTCAATTCTCGGAATTGCCAGTGTGTAATTAGTTCATGCATTTCCCAGGGGCACTCAATTCTCGTCCAGCCTTCACATGCATGTCACAGAATAAAAGGGAGGAGGGAGGGAAGGGTGGGGGTGCTGGAATTCCCGTCTGTGAGTCACATGACCCTTTAAGGAGAAAGCTGATGTCATTCTCAACAGACACTTTCAGGATAATAAGTCTTCATCCGTCTTTCATTATCGCAGCAGAGTGGATGTGTTGTTGATACAACTGTTCTCACATGTGATTTGTTTTCCTGTGTGTGTGGACCTCATGGCCCTGACTTTGTCTACATTTGTCACCCTGCAAGGCCTCTGGAGACACCACACCAAAAAACTGATCGGCTGGAATGAGGCACGCAATCAAAAATCAATTAATCCTAATCAGAGACGGGTGCCAAACACCGCTGACGGACACACTCTGAGGTTTATTTTTCTCAGAGTGGCAGAAATACCAAAGTGTGACAGTGGTTGATTAGCGGTCACGCAGACAGAAGAGGTGTCAATGCTGATTTTCCTCTCTCAAACAACGACGTGTTGCCCTGCCAAGTAAACAACTGATTCCTTCTGTGCACGCTGCAGCCGCTCCCAGAGAAACTAGTCCCTGTGTGCCGCAGCCAGCAGACAGTGAGCTGATTATAATTATAACTGGCGTCAGTGAGGAGACTGAGGATGAAATAGAATAACTGTATGTGAGAGCTCAGTCTGCAGCGACAAGATATTACAGAAAGGAAATGTAGGGGCAGCCAGAGACTTTGTGATAACTCAAATTACATTTAGGGTAAAGCAAAAGGCAAAGGTGCATGGTACTATAATGTAACCTGATTCTGATGCCCCTTCTTAAAGTTTTGGCGCAAAATGTAGTCTAAAGATATATAATATTTTGGTTTTGTGCTTAAATGTGGCTTATTCTGAATAAATGTCTTTGATCCAATTACAGAAAAAGGAAATCTGGGGCCAGGAACAATTCTAGTTTTGAAAAAATCATATTTACAATAATGATTTTTTTTGTTTGAGTAGTAATAAAGTCCTAAAATCATACTTGAAAACCATTTATGCACTAAAGAAAGTACTAGAAAGAGTTTTAAATTAATGTTAGTTTGTGTACTATTGGGGAGTTTAAGCTGAAGCTTATTTTACGAGTTCATCTCAAAGATTTCATGCAAAAAAACCCATATGCAAAATACATTTAGTGGAGTAAAAAGCACATTACTAAACACACTAAGATAAATGCGGAAGAAAGGTCTCCCAAACTTAAAATAACTCAACGAAACAGCTGTTAAGCAGTCATCCATACAGTGTGGATCACGCACCACTAGATGGAGCTACATCTCTATAAGAAGGACTAACTGGGAACAATGGGAGTCATGAAACATTGTCTCAATTTTAGTTTAGGTGTAAATCAGAGCCTGCAAAAACAGCTCAATGACAAGATACACAGTAACAAGTGTGTGAGTGTGTGCCGCACATATAAACACATTTGATTCATACTCGGCGTACAACTGTTTTTCTTCCTACCTGCATCTGTGTGCAGACTCGGCTCTCTCCATGACTCTGTTGGGGGGAAAAAGGGAAGCTCAATCTAAAATCTATTTTCAAACTACTGTACACATCTTGACCAAATTAAATTGATACTTTGTGCTAAAAATAAAGCTGTCATCACCTCCCACCCCCTGTAGTCCAGATCAAATCTCAACCACCGACATATCAAATACCAAGTGCAGTACTTATTATAACCAAAAATAAATGATCTACAGTAATGCCAAGTTTAGGGTGCTTATGAGATGAGTACTTTTGTTTGTCATTATTAGTCATATATGCACATGTTTCCATCTTCAGGTTGGTTTGCAGCTTATCTGCTTTGTCAAATGTCCACTGACCCACATGTGGATATAAAAACTTTTTATTTTATGTGTATTTATGTGTATGTTTACATGTAGTCAGGATAATGTATAATGCATTTAGATTATAGTTACATTGTCAATAATTACTTCATTACATTTTTGATTATGTCTTTATAATGTTGCAAATTTTGAAATGATGAAACATTTCATAATAACCAATAATATTGACTCATCAAATGCGAGATATTCAAAATGCATTTAATCTACATTGAACATGTTTTGAGATGTTTAAAGACACATTTTGTGAAACTCAATGTGTGTGGCTGCTTCCATATCAGGAACAATATTTTGAATTAATCTAAAAGTATTCACAAAGATGAAAAAAAAGCTTGTTACTGATTTACAAAACGTGCCATGCAAAGTGTATTCAGTTAGTGACTCCTGAGCAAACATACCACTTCTCGTTCTTTACTCTTGGCAGGAGAGGAGAGATGGTGAACTTTGACATGGAGCTCCTCGAGCTGGAGACTCAGTGAGTGTTTCTGCTGTGTCAGCTCTTCTATCAGCCTGAGAGAGATAGAGGGGGGGGGGGGTTGTTGAAATGGTGCAGTGAAGTTCACAGATCTGACCTCGGGGGTCAGTTGCAGTGTGTAGGTCAGAGCTCTGGCTCTTTGTTCCAGCCATGAATCAGTTTTCATCAAGGTCAGTCAATATCAGTGTCAGCAGCACTGTCAGTGTTGGCAGTACATGTACACACATTGTATTGTACACACATTGTATTGTACACACATTAATAAAGCAACAAATAAAACAGTAAATACATTTCTTTTTCTGAATCCATAAACTGTGTCAACTATAAATTGTGTCTATTGTGCGAGGGTATAGTACAAGAACAGCTAGGACTAACTCCTGCATGCATTTCATTGATGGCAGGTTATAGTCACCTGTCTTTGTCAGCCAGGGCCTGCTGGCTGAGCTGTCCACCTGAGCTCCCCCCCTCCTCCTCCTCCATCCTCTCCACCAGCTCTCTCTCTACAGCCAGGCGGCGCTGAGACTCAGAGTCTGCCAGCGAGGTCATCCTCTCAGCCTCACCTCGCGCCAGCTCGGCCTCCTGAACGCAACACAGAGAGAGGAACATCAGATCCATGCAAACCTGACAAAGGTTCTTTCTGTCATCTTAATTCAAGGATAATTCCCATGTATTACAACTTATGTACTGTCTTACTATCAGTGCATCAGTACCAGAGTCCTGTGTGTGTGTGTGTGTGTGTGTGTGTGTGTGTGTGTGTGTGTGTGTGTGTGTGTGTGTGTGTGTGTGTGTGTGTGTGTGTGTGTGTGTGTGTGTGTGTGTGTACCTCTTGTAGCAGCTGAACTTTGGTTTCCAGGATTTCCTGCATGTGGATGATCTCCTCCTGCCGCTCCTCCAGGCGACGCTGCAGCTCTGCTTCATTCTGATTGGACAGGCTCTCTGCCGTCAACCTATGG